CTGTACAGGGTGGGTTTCACCCAGGGGTCAATTCATACTGGCCATGGTGTCCCTTGAAGGGACAAGTCCACCCTTCACACACCGTGGCTCTGTCAGCCCCAAGTGGTGTCTTTAGGATTTCATCATTCACATTCGATTTATTGAATAGAAGCGCTTATTTCCCTTGTATTTTTTTTTTTGAAACTGGGACGGAAAGAAGGAGAGGAACGTGTTCAAACTGGTCCTCCAGTTCCAGTTCAAGAGTGAAGCTCTTCATACTGCAGCGGAGTTGGGGGCTACAGCTTTATCATTTAAATGATGCTGGCCTTATTATAGAACTGTTTACGTCCTCCCTGGTCAAAAGTCAATTCCTTTTCGAATCGCATATTTCAGTTTTCACAATAAGATAAGATAGTGATCCCCCCTCCCCCCAAAAGCAGTGTTTTGCCTCATTGTTAATGTTATTGGCTTAGATGATGCACATATTTAGGGTGAATAAATGTTTTTTACAAGTCCAGTGAATGATTCACCTGTGTTAATATCGGTTGTACTATAACCAGTTTGGGAAAGAGCTGTAACTTCCTTTGCTTGTTTTAGAATATTTTGGGGTTTGGGTAAAGTACACTTTTTGTTTTGGTTTTGCACCGTCAGAGACTCAGAGATATGAAGTGTACTGTACCTGTAAGGTGAGTGAGACATACCCTGTTGTGTCTATTTTGAAACAAAGGACCCCTCCTTACACCAGTTGCAAACTGGGTGTGACTTTAGCGGGACAGACCAAGTTTTTAGCTCTGCGCTGCTGTCTTTTTGTTCACACACTATTCCGCATAAAGCCACTTTTTCTTCCCTGGAAGAAAAAAGTGCAATTTAAGGAGTGCTTAAAAAGTCTGTGGAGAATTGAATGCAATGTAATGGGTACTGAAAAGACTAAGCTACAAACTAAATGTTAGATTTACAGATTGTGCCTGTTTTAACACCAGTAAGAAGCATCATAAAACAATGTTCCATTTTTCTCTATAGAACTGATAGAATAGGGCCTAATCACTTTGTTTTTACATTTATGTAGGGCAGTATGCACTTGCACACAATAAACAGTACATCTTCTGAGGTGCCACACAGAGAAAGAAGAAGAATCTATTTTATTGTCTTCATACAGTAGAAAGTTTCCTTTGGCCACACTAAGACAACAATTTAAACAGTGTGATGCAGAATACATAAATCATTCAGTGGATTTTGCAGTCAGTGCAATATAAATAAAATGTAAAGCAATATGATACAGTACAAAAAAGATAAGATTCAAGTGTGACGTACATATATAGTACAGTATATGCTGTCAATACAGTACTCTGAAGAGACTCAAACATCAGAGTTATAACACCTGACACCTGAAGAAGGCTCCACGGCCGAAACGTTGTGTTCTCTTTCTTCTTTTTTTCAGCATGGAATAAACCTATTACTTGTTCCATCAGAGTTATAATGTTTTTTGTAGCCTTTGATACCCTAAAACATCAACCAGATGGTATTTTTTTCAAATTGAGAGTGTAATGGGTGTGAGGCATCATTTAGCTTGCTTTTCTGCACTCGTATAGTATACAAGTGGTCCAGCTGGTCCTGTTTCTACCCAACAATTGCTCTGCCCACAGTTAAAATCCCCGAGAGCCGTCTTCTGCTCCCATACCAAGGGCAGCTGGAGCTCCTCAAGCTTCTCAAGAGAAATAATCTTTTTTTAAAAAAACTTGATCTCTGTGTTGTCTGAGAAGTTCAGTTTGTTATCAATGTACGTATCCAGGTATTTCAAACATGGAAAAATTATCCACCAGCCGGCCATTTCTATTCCTACGTTGATGCTTAACACGAGTTCTCCCCATGCATTTTGCTAAAACAGAGGTGAGGGCCACAGGTCTAAAATCATTACAAGACGGTGTTCCAAGTTGTTGTCTGCTTCGATAGCTTGGGGTCTCGAGCAAAAACTGGAATAGCTTGGTAAGCACTGGTGTTAATACTGGAGAGAGACAGGCAGACAGGCAGCGACCTCCTTCTCAGTCAGCTGCATAGGTGTGTAGTAAAGGAGAGTGTCGCATATCCTTAAACAGCAAAGAAATCACTTTGCTGTAATTTCCAGTATCAAACCTGCACTAAAAGATGTTCACATCATTAACAAAAGACATATTTAAACGAGGGATTTTTTTTCTAAATCTTTCCCTGCCCATCTTGAGCCTTCCCATGCCTGGCTATTTCCAGAACAGAACCGTTGCTCCATTTCCCCTTTAAAGTCACATTTTGTTTTATATCTAAATTCCTTTTTCTTTTTCCCCGACGACTCCAGTTTGACCTCTCAGAAAAGCACGTCTCTCTTGCGGTTAGGCGTGTTTTCTCAGCTCTGTAAGACACCCCTAGCTTGCCCTTTGGAAATAACTCTCACTGCTTTGATTTCAGCAACTCGTCTTTCACAGAATGAGGTGTGACAATAGTATCAGTTACTCCATTGACCACAGAGAAAGAATCGAAAAATATGTGCCTGTCCGTATTGTCACAACAGTCTCTCAGTTCTTGTTTGCCGTTTTCTATGCACCTTTTTTTGCGCTGTCCGAATACGTTGTTTCTCCTATCAGTCTGTTCGGGTACAAGATGTATCACATTGTGGTCTACTGTCCTAAAGGCGGTCGGCATACAGCCTTATAGGCGTTTGCGATCACATTGATCTAGAATGAGAGACGGGTGAGCAGGGAAGTCTGTGTGCTTCCGAGAGGTGGGCAGGATACAAAAGACGACGCACATATTGAAGTCTTCCAGAATAATTACTATCTGGTCAGCAGAGCGAGTGAGGGAGTTGTTATATAGCATTCCACTCCTCTGTCCGCGGCTTTTCCATTAGCGGGTCTAGGCACGTAAGCACGTTAACCGTGATGTGGCCGAATTCCCGAGGCAGACAGAAGAATATCAACTCTAGATTATAAAGGAAAGAGCATCTCTCAATCCCGGGCGCACACTTGCTTGTGGGTGTGGAATTGAGTAGCCCGGGTTGTCTGAGACACATATCAACTTGCTCCTCTTTAAAATCGCCATCAGTCTGCCAGCAGGTCTACCTCGCGGTTTGAAGAGCGCAAGTTCGCCAGTGTGGACATTCCGCCTCTTCACTTCTTGAGTTTGTTTTTTGTGGTATCCGTTACACGTTTAAAAAAAGTTGAAATGTCAAGTAAAAAAATAAAAGTAAGTAAACGGAGCAATGCTAGTCTGGATGGTGTATTATAGGCCTCAATAAATGCACTTTTCAACAGCAATTATTTTCTTTTAAACGAAATTTTCATTTTAACTCCATGTGACCGTTGGCCATTTTGACTCCCTATCGGACCCAAGATGGCTCGTCCGAAAGGTGCCTGAGGGAGTGTTGGTAATCTGGGCCCAGCTTCTGAAATGCTGGATCAGATGCAGGAGGGCCAAAAAGTCATTACACAGCCAGTAAAAAAAAAAAAAAACGAATCATTGTATTTTAAACATAAAATCCTTTTCACCAGTAATTTCACCTCATTTCAATGTCGAGATTTATAGTACATGTACTCTTTTTTACCATTTGAAACTTTATGTATTATTTGCGTCTTTTATTATTTGTAGTCCTTTGTAAGATGCTTTGTTATACGATAACCTCAACATTGCTGTAGTTTTTGTCGTTAGATGCTGCTCCATTTGGGAATCCCATAGACAAAGTTGTGTAGTGTAATATTTATTAGGGAACACATTTTCATAATTACTTTTTTATCCTTTCAAAGATTTGGTTAATTTAGACATTTCTTAAGGCCTTAAAATATCTTAAATAAAATATCTTTAAAAGTGTTAAAAACATTTTATTATTCCAAGTAAAACACTAACTTAAATCATTTAAGTTATTTTAGTCAGTGCTGTTTGTGCCTTTTTTGTATTTCCAGGGACTTATGGGGAAAAATACATTGATTTCTTCCTTCAGTAGGAAATGTCTCTGAGCAGCAGTGGTTTCTAGTTTTGCATAGACCACATTGGTGTCACCTGAATTTGTGTTTTTGTATGAATTTGGAAGAAAAAATGATTTTGGACATAGTTAAAGCTTGCGATCATTAACACTGGAGACATGTGACTATAAAGTGCTATAGCGTTATACCCAAAGACTGATCCCTTCGGCATACAAGGACAAGGAGTGCAAAGCCTGAACACTGAGGACTGCCTTGTTCTAAAAAGTGCTTTAATATTGGTTCTTGTTTGTGTTCACAGCCTTCTGACCTGGTCTTATACAGCAAAATAGGAAAAATTCAAGTAAATCGTTTGAGTTCCAAATCTCCACAAATATGATATTGTTATGTTGTTTTATAGTTTTTTATTAGGAGGGAATGGGTGTCATGTTTTTCAGAAACATTGATCGTTTGAATACAGCCTGGATTTGTGTCTGTACATCATGCACTACATGTCAATGTGTGTGTGTGTGAGTCCAAAAAAAGGAACCCCACGCCTCATTTCTGCTGAAAAAACATAAATCGTAAACCATCCAGTTCTACAGGTTTAATTACATTTCCATCACATTTGTGTTTTTTTAAATAACGTTTGATGTAACCAGCTAGTGTTGTTTCATTTGACATTTTCCATTTGTAACTCATTTCTAGTTGAGGCAGTATCCGTTCTGAAGAAAGATTAAACATTTTTATCCATGTGACTCTGCTGCAATTGATTTATGATCTTACCTTTGCCCTCTTTGTTAAAGAAAGTTCTTTGTTTGATAAAAGTGAAAGTGACTGCCCTTGTAAATAATTAGGTGGTGTCACCTTTCCCGTAGTAGTCTGCTGAGAAACCACGCGCTTTGTTATTTGTCCATTTTTCATTAAAAAAATGGTATCCAAATAAAATGGGGGGAAAAAAAAAAAACAGAAAATGTGACAGCTTCCCGAAGTGCTTGAAGTTGGCGGTGTGCGCCTTCAGGAACGGCGAACGGTTTCAGAAAATCCCAGGGCCTGTTCCTGTACCTGAAGGGCTTGAACCTGATTTCCTTGTGTTTGCAGGCGGAGTGAACCAGCATCCCGACCTCATTCCTGGCATTCGACCAAATTAGCGGAGAGCCAACAGGATCCCGGCATGATGCAAATATCTCGGGGCACCGTCGGCACTCCTTGGCACCAAACGTATCATTCCAGGTCAGTTGGATTGGGGTTATTGGCAGGGAAACAAAAGAACCCTCTCTGAATGCTGTCCTGTGCACCACTCAAGCACCAGAACAAAGAACAACAACATCAAAAAGAAGACAGACACTTGAATCTGGAGTTTCTCCTTGTCAACAACCCATATACAGATTCAGAAAAGCTCTAACCTGACAGAGGAAGAGGCAGGAAAGAAGAATATTCTGTAGCGAATGGAATAAGGGATTATGACACAGTCCCCAGGCATGGTACTAGGATTGTCAATGGAAGTGTCTGTTCCTTATAACTGTTAATCTACACTAAAGATTATTTTATTGTGTTTGAGTGTCTTTAGCTTTTATACTCTGTTTATTCCATCTATTTGTAACATGGTTTCTTGGGTCTCAGAATACAGATGTTTTTCATGCATTCTGCATCAAACAGTAGTTTAGATATTTCTGCCCTGCAGTGGACAGCGCCGATGTTCAATACTCATTTCTCTTTTTTCATGCACTGCATACACAGAGACAATAAAGTGAGTCCAATTGTTTTATAGATCCAAATTAAGTTGTAATGTCACTGCCGCATGTACTGTATGCATCAAGTGATGTTTTCTTCAAAGGAATTGTTGTAGTAGATACTAAGCAAAGTACGCAAATAAAATAATAAAATAATATTCAATGATATCTAAACATGAGGAGGTTGATTTACTCATATTCAGCATTTATTTAATTCCACCCTCCAGAACCAGACGCTTTAAATTCCAGACACTTTTTTTGCACAGAAGAACCTCCTGTCTCCATTCCCAACCTTTTCTCTGGAATAGACAGGATCCTATTCGGAACTCAATGATCCTGCTGGGCTAGTACAGTATTTCTTTTTTTTGGCATTAGGACCTTCTTCTAAACGTCTGTGTTAGATCTCTGTCCCCTTTTTTGTTATACATGAGGGTGCAGTTATTTTCACATGACTTGTCCAGGGATTAGGCGTCTTGCTGTTATCTGGATGCTTTCAGATGCAAGGATAAAGTTTCTGTCGTGGTGACCAATCTGTGCCGCAGTGCACAATTCCATATGAGTCTGCAAGGCACCTGGGCCATGAGATCATTCTGTGCTGAATGTTGAACAGACTGGATCATATGTGCAACATTTTAAATAAAGGAAGAATTGGAGGATCGGGAGAACAAAGTTATGTTAATGATGAGGTTTGGGGTATTTCAAGTATTTTGTGGGGGAAAGACTGTTGTTGCTGTAGGAAACACCTGCAACAGCCATTTCAGGTCAGCACAGTTCACAGTACCTTCTTTATGCAGATGTCTAGTTCTGTGATATAATGATTCCCCTCTTCATCACTTGAACGTGGTTTTCTGGTTACAAACGATAGTCGTTCTCCAAATGTCCAGTTCCTTTTCCTTGTAACAGGGAAAGAGGAAGAGCTACATTTTCAAGGGGCTGTCTTGCCATGTCTTTGAGACAAAGTGACCAGGTAGTTCAGAAGTGCGTTCCTGTGGAAGATGGGGACAGGACGGCTTGTATTTCCTTAAAGGCAAAGATTAACCCTTGTTTCCCTTTTCCTTTCCGCTGATACAGTAATGGCCAAATAAATGTCAAGTTTCAATCTTCATATCTAAGCCCCTCTAGAAATAATTTTATTTTCCATCCATAATCTCAATCGCAAAAAAAAACAACCTTTCTGATTTAATTTAAGCATGAGAAATTATGCCTAAATAATGTATAAAACTCCCAGTGAAAAGATTTTAAAAATCTTGCTCCTATTGCCGGTTTGTAGTATATTGAATCCTGAAATCAAGGATTGGTGTAGATAACTGAAAAGTAATAGCATGCTCGTTAAAACTAACAGTGGTTTGTAGCTATTAAAGGTGTTTGCCAATAGTTTTATCCTTAGAGATCGGAACGTTTTCTGTGTACTCACTGGCTGGTTTCACTAGCTACACTACACTGGTTGTGTAGTGCTGTATTTTTTGCATTGCATATTTCAGAGTATGCAGTATTTTGGAACACGTTTGCCTTTTTTCTAATAGTGTAATCAAATCTTGCATGGCTGGCAGAACCTCCCTATGAGAATGATTGTGTTGGGGAGAAGGCTATGACGTCATCTTAATTATTTCTATTGAAATGTCAGCTGCCTTCTGTACCTCCTGTTCAGCTTTCACATTGCCATAAATGGCCAGAAGGGAGAACAGTCTAGGAACTGCGCCAGTCATCTCATATAAAGGTTTTTTTTGTCTGTTTGGCGGCAATTATGATTTTTTTTCCTCCATATATGTTCAACATACACTCACCAATTAATTTTCTTTGTATGTTAGGTGTCAGGTGATTTAAACCAGTCAAGCTGTGTGATCCTTTTTATATAATTAATACAAGCTGAAGAATTTGTCCCCAACAGATTTTACTTGCACGCAGTTAAAGAATATGCATACAATAAGAACTTTCACATACGCTAGGCTGTATTTCTGCTTTAGTATGTCCGGCATTATGTTTTGTGAAACACAATGGTAGTAAAATCTAGAAAGCATTAAAAAATATAGTGGCATTGCTGTGAACTGACAGTGAAATGTAAAGTATATTCTCGACAGAGAGATAGTTTTTGTTAGTTGTTATGGAAATGTCGAACATTCCGCAGTTTTGAAAGTATCGGTCATTTTCCAAGCTGTTTTTTTGCTTCTTTTTTTGGAGGAAAATTGAAATTTCTGTCCTTCTTGGAGACAAATGCTCTGATAGCCCAGTCTTACAGCAGCATGTTGAACTGCATAGATGGAGTTTATTTAACTAAAGTTCGGGAGGGATGACAACAACCACGCTCAATCATTCCCAGCCGTCAGCAATTAGCAGTCACTCCCCTTTGTCCTTCCTCCACTGAACCCTATAAATACCAAATGCGATATCCCTCTTCCTCGCGTGCGACTTTTTGCGTCCCACCTCCACCTCTGCAGCTGCCCCTTGGTTACCTTGCTGGGGGGTCCTGGCCTCCTCGTCCTGTGGCCAGGAGGTCAGCCCTCAGCCAAGCGGGTTAAGCCAAATAGTCGCTCGACTACAGTTCATTACGCTTCGATCTTGGGCATTGTCATTCCTCGTGAACTGGCAGTAGCAAATAAAAAATAAAAAAAACAAATATGTATGGCACATTCGAGATTAAAATAATGAAGGTCTCCCAAAATCAAACAGTACAGGATGCTGTAATTGTACTGTAAATCCTCCTTTTCTGTCTCTTGCTGCATGGAGTTGGACTAATCACCCATGTCTGAGCCATGGGAGTTGCCCCCAGTTGCACCTCATTCTGCTTGTTGTGGTCTAGTTGAGGTGCTCTGTATTATTGGCTCATTTGCAGCAGCAGTAAGGATGTGTTTGGCAGCTTGAATAAACTTTTGGTATTCTCCACAAGTACTTCCTGCTCCGTGTGCTAAGGTCCATGTCCAAACGGCTGCTGCACATGTACATAAGGGGACCTGCTGCTTCAAGGAATTGCTTTTGGCATTTAAGAACGTAAGAGCCTTTGTAAACGAGGGGAGGACATTCGGCTCATCTGGCCCATTTGGTAGTTTGTAGATAATTGATCTAAGGGTTGTATTCAGCCCTTTCTTGCACTGGATTTTGAAGAACTCAGGGTAATGGCTTCAACAGAGTGACTGGGTAGCTTGTTCCACCTACAACCCTTCGAGCAAAGAACTGCCTCCTGCCTCCTGTTCTTAGTTTTTAATTTCAGTTCCATATAGTTTTGCACTTATGTCCTCCAGTTTTTGTGTCTCCTACGTTTACAAGGAGTCCGCTGGAGTTGACTTTGTCAGTGCCTTTGAGGATTTTGAATACTTTTATGTGATTTGATGGTTATCTTTTCTGTTCAGGACTATAAAGGATCAGATCCTTCGGCATGTGAACTAAGCCCCAGAACTCGTTTGATTTCTCTCAGCCATTTGGCTAATTACTAATTACTAATTTATGTTCATTATGTTCTCCCTGTCTAGTTCCTCCACCACTGACCTCTCTGGCTATGAGCACGGGTTCCTGAGGAAAAGTCCGGACCAGTACAGCTCTCGGGGCAGTATGGAGAGCCTGGACCACAGTCATCCAGTTTACAGCTCCTGCCACCAGCTCACAGCCTCAAAGTCATCCAACAGCATTGACCACCTGCATAGTAAGAGGGACTCCGCCTACAGCTCCTTCTCCACGAGCTCCAGTATCCCCGAGTACCCAGCCCCAGCCTTCAGTAAGGAGCGCTCCTACTCCATGGAGAACATGCACTCCCAGCGGGGCCCGGAGGGGATGAGGCAGGCTGACATCCGCTACGTCCGAACTGTCTACGACCCGCAGCAGGGAATCTCGGAGGAGCACGAGGTCAGCTCCTCTGCTCTGGCCCGCAGCAATGAAGCAAGGATCCAGGCAGAGGCCAGGGGAGGCGGTATCGTCCGCAGCATGAGCAATGAAAACCACGCGTCCAGCAGACACAGCGTCGGACCCGTTTGGGGCCAGACACAGAACAGGATCCCAGATGAGAGTGCCGGTGTGACAGGGCCCCCTGCCCCACCCATACGCAGTGACAGCTATGTTGCCATTAAGAATCACGACAGGCCCAACTCTTGGTCCAGTCTGGAGCAGGCCAGGTCCTCTCGTACCCTGCAGAAGGGATCCTGGCCTCATCCTGGCATCTCAGGGAAGTCCTCATTCTCTGCTGAGGGCCAGCTGCACACTGTGGTCGAGAAAAGCCCTGAGAGCAGCCCTACTACCAAACCCAAGCAGAATATTCCCCAGGCGACTCAACCAGGGAAACTCATGCTACCCACAGGGATCTATCCAGTGCCTCAGATGGAGCCTCACTTTGCACAGGCTCCGACCAGCTGCCCCAGTTCCAGGAGCCTGCTGTACCCAGTACTGGCAAAGGAAACCCGGTGCAGCTCACTAAGTAACCACAGCACAAGCGCGATCCTGGAAGGGGCAGCAAAGGAAAATGGATACCAAAGCAATGCTTCCACCTTATCCGACCAATCCCCTGGCTTTCAGCAACCAAAACTCTTCCTGCACCAGAAAGACAAAATGCATGAGGAGCCAGAAACCAAATGCAGTCACTACAAGCCTCATTTTAAACCTGGCGCTGATGTGTACGTCTCTCAAGCAGAAAGGCAAGAGCACGGGTGTGTGCATACTCCCCAGAGTGCAGAAGAAGACAGGAGGGATCTGCCCACTGTAAACCAACAGGCAGAGGAAAGGCTGAGATATCCACAGGGCAATGAAATACCAGATGAGCACAAATGGAAAAGAGAGCCAGAGCAAACTCAAGCCGTGGAAGGAGGGCGTCAGCATAGAGCCTCTTCTTTGCAAAATGATCAGGAACATGACTTTTTTCCTAAAGGCCAAGCTGGCTTTGAATGTGGGCAAATGTCTTATGGTAGCTGCAGAGATCTTAGAATCCCTTATGAAGCTAAAACTGAGATGGTCTCAAACCAAGGGAGTGATCTCAGGGACCGACCCACCATACGGCACCACAGTGAGACAGGTGTGTGGCAACAGCAGACACAGCCACCCTGGCATGAAAATGCCTCCGCTGAGGTTCCAAGACCGAGGAGCCCCAACAGCAGCAGAAGTAAAAGCGACATCGCGACAAAGCGCCTTTCTGTGCTGGAGAAGGTCAACCAAATTGAGCAGCGCAAGCAGAACCAGCAGCAACCCCACAGCACGAATTCCCATCATGGCCTCACCTGGTCCAGTCGGCCCTCGAGAGGGAAAAACTCCTTTTCCAGCATCGAAGACATTCGGCACCGGCTGAAAATTTCAGAGGGGCCTTGTGCTAAGGGTTTGTCCCAGGGCAAAATGCAGGGTAATGGTCTGGATGGAAAACATGAAGGTGGGCTGGAAGACTCGATGCAGCAAAAATATAGAGAGCAGCACTTTCAGAGCAAACCAGAGAACAAGGCACTGCTGCTTCAGAGAAGTAAAAGTACCTTCCAATTGACGAGTGAAGAGAACAGCAAAGAATTTCACTGGAAAGATGGCTTGCAGGACATTTTAGGCACCTTCCAGGACACCTCTTTCAACAGGGCTTACCGGGACAGTATTAAGGATGCCCAGTCAAAAGTTCTACGCTCCACTTCCTTTAGACGTAAAGACCTGAGCGTTAACTCACCCCATCTCAACAGACATTTGTCTGTGGAGCAAGTAACGTCAAATAAGACTAGCACCAAACCTGGTGGGGTGTCGCCTCACACCCCGAGAGAAAGACACGTTGTAACTCCTGAGGAGGTACCTCCCGCGCTCCCAAGCACCCCTGCTGTAGGGCCTTCTTTTCCCCGAATTTGTGGCCGCAAACGATTGACAGCAGAACAGAAGAAGCGCTCCTATTCAGAGCCGGAGAAGATAAACGAGTTAGGGGTATCAGACGCATCTCAGAAGAAGGGTCCGCAGACCTTTCTTTTTCCAGAGACGAGCGTGGCAGACCGGCGGAAGATGTTTGAGCCCGAGGGGAAGAGCAGGTCTGTGCGTAGCCCCGGCGTCTCTCGACCTGAGCTGAAACATCTGCAGCAGACAGCGCTGGCCGAGTACGTTGAACGCAAAACAGCACACAAGTGGTCAGGGAAGAATCGCCCTCATAGTTCCTACCTTCAGCCCTACAACTTTGATTCACAAAGCCTCTCCTCAGCTTCCAGTCTCAGCTCTCTGCAGGAACAGAGCAACCAATGGGGCCCATCAGCGGATAGTCATCCCAGGACAAAGAGGGTCTCCTCCACCCTGCCTCCTGGTCTTCAGGGCTCCAGGTACCTGAGTGGGAGCCTGTCACGACAGTTCTCCTATGACATTTCCTGCTCCAGCCATGCCCAACCAGACAGAAATCCAGAGTTCTGCAGTTCAGAGAGGGAGCTGAATAAGCTTAGTAAAGGTGAGTCCTTAAGAAGGCGTAGCAAGTCCCAGTATGCACCCCATCAGCAGCAGCCGGAGGTGGCTTTTGAGAGAGGATCTACAGCGAGGAGTTCTGGGAAGTCTGCATCTGCTGAAGACCTTCTAGAACATTCCGAGAAGAGGCCTGTTCCACATCACATTCGATCAAGATCCTCGCCGTCTGTGGAAACACGAGATCGGGTACGTGTAAAATCCGTGAATTAACATGGAATTTTGTCTTTATTGTACCGTGACAGGGCTTTAAAACAGTAAACTTCAGTAAAACATCAGAAATAAAAAAATACTGCATACAGTCTGGCACAATGATCTGATTGATGTCATCCAACCGTTTCTTGAAAGAAGACAGAGTACCAGCTTCAACAACATACCAACATACTGTAGTTGGGCAGCTTGGGGGATTCAAACTTAAGCCTTAAGAGACCTGAACAATCTTGGGCTGCTGTGTCATTTTGAAATATGCACATCCAAATGAGACATGACAGGGTGGGTACTGCAAACAGAAAGCCTCTGACTATAACATTAAGCCTCCGGCTGTAATTATAGTTTTCAACTGGCATACAACATTCTGATATTGTACTGAAAATGACACTGAAACAAACATGGGGGACATGGCTATGAGGTCCGGTGGCAAATTTGGCAAAAAATATTTTGAAATATTGAGAGAAAAAGATCTGAACTGCAACATTAACAAGTGTTCACTGTATGAGAACAATGCTCCTCTGTAAGATTCTGGATTGCTGGCATAGTGTAAAAATTGTTTTTTTCAATTCATATTTTGTGTTACAATTTTTTAGGTCCTCTAATATGAATGGTTTAACGTTATTGTGATGGTCCAGACCAACTGTAATTGGAAGTTGATTTACACAAGTACCCAACAGGCTGCAGGCTTTGATCTGCAGTCCCATTTTAACTCTTGGGCCTCGTTGGAAGCACTATTTAATCATTCCTGGTAATGTGACATGTCTGAAACCTCTCCATGGCAGCTACAGAGAACAAGGAAGGATGTGTTAATTAAACTGACTCGCAGATGAGCAAGGCTGTCTCACAAGTCTATTCTCCATTTGAATATCTCCCAGCTCTTCCTGTTTTGTCTTACTCGTTACAGTTTTATTAAGCTGTACCAGATTTGTCATGGCAAAGCTTATTCCTTATTTACTCATCTTTGCTGAAACTCTTTCAACACTTTGGGGGGCGGAGGAGAAAATGGATGTGAAGGGAAGCTACTGACAAGATTCCCAGATTTCTCTGCTGGGTGGAGTGTGCTGTATACCCACAAACGCAGGCACACAGGAAGTGAACAGAACTTCTGTTTTCCTGTGTGGTGCCAACGAGACTCCTTTGGAAATAGTTTGGCGAGTGATTACAGACTGATAAATGTCTTTCTGATTTGTGAGAGGAGGGAAAGACATCAGATGTCTTTAGGACCTCAAGGCAGTTGGAACAGGAAATGTCTGGGATGAATTCAAATGATTTTATCTTGGAGAATAATTTGACCGCTCTGTGTAAACATGGCTTTTTGTGTAAAGTAATTGTGGCTTTATTTAATTTGCGAACACTTCAATCCACGTTCATGAACATGTCTTATTGCACACTATATTCCTGGTTTCTTTGAATAAAGGTAAAAATGGTCATTGCTTAGATTTATTTTTTATTTTATCTTTAGTACTTGTACATAGATATCCACAGTCGTTTGTTGGCTTATCCATATCTATCACGGTATGATAGCCTTGAAACACAACACCTTACTCTGAGGACACTACAGTTAGGCTTTCCCACAAATTGGAAGCAGTTCGGGTAGACCTGTAGGTGCCACTCTTTCCTCTGGATCACAACGGTCCAGATTGTCCAATCTCCCTGTTTCAAGTGTGCTATGGATGAGATGTTAAGATGAGATCCTGATTACTTGGTCATTAAAAATCAAGCAGTAGGGGTGAAAAAAACCCCAGTGTCCTGGCTAAGTGTCCTCTTTCTTCCTAATTTGGTTGGGGGGGGTAAAATTCATTTCACAGCCATTCCTGTTGCTTCCCTTCCTGCAGGTCAGTTCAATACACTCAGCTCTGTTGTGGGATGTTGTTATTCTTTTGTTCTTTTGCATGCAGATGAAACCCTTTAGAACTTTGCCAGTCAGGGCCTTCCTGTTCATTTTGCCCAAAATGACAGGTTAACCTAAAAAATTAGTGAGGATGCAGCTCATGCATACCAAGACCCAGATAATCTGGACATCATGCGAGTGCTGTTTAATATTTAACTAACTATCTGAACTTTATTTCCTTAATCTTGGACTTGTTTTCGTTTCTAATCCCAAGCTAAAAACCCGACCATCTGTTTTTCAGGACTTTGTGACTGGAGTGAATCAACCTTTTGGTATCTTATCGAAGCAGCACCTTGCATCTGCTGGTAACGAAATAAGGTCTATAAACATATTTTTTAAATCAAGCAAATGTGTTTCCTTTCCTAATTTTCTGACCTTTACATCTGTTCTTTGCTGTTGTATTTTTTTTCGCTGTGTAAGTGTAACACTTTCAGTTCATTTTTATTTTATTACTGGTTCTGAAGCCCAAAATAAAACTACATTTCTTGGATATACAGTATATACACAATATGCACCGGTATTCCTGAACCAGGATCAAATGTAATATTGAGATCAGTGTTTAGGGGGTATAAATCTGGTAGCATTTTAAATCCTTATTTTCTAAATTTCTTGAGTGGTGGAATTGACTTCCTTTGACCCAAGCACCCATCTAATCATGTTAAAAGAGCCTCATGAAAGTGCCCATTGAGAGTGGTATTATCAACACCGTTGTTAAAAGAGATTGGATTTGTAGGGTTTCCTTTGTGTTTTCTGAATGAACTCTGCTGGTAGTTTTGGGTAGCTAGTAGCACATACATTACAATGATGGTCGCTTTCCTGCTTTTACTGAGAGGCTGAGAACAGATCAAGAGCAAGATCTGAGGCTGAAGCGTCTGTGATATTTTTATCTGAGGACAGACAAGTGAATGCCGCTGAAAAACTGCCATCTATCTTTGAACAGCTGGTTTCTGCATGTTAACCAGTTACCACAGTATTAGTATTACGCCAGTGTTTTCTCATATAAATGAAAACAGCTTGCATTTCCAAGGAAGTCTGTATTGTATGTTTGGATGAGGATTTGTTTGTAAAAGCTACTACTTTGTTGCTTTAGTAAAAAGCAAATGGGCCAAATTAACACTGTGCTCAAAGCTTTATGTATTTAGCCCTAAATGCTAAATTTGTGTCAGTAAAGGAAGGAATGCAGCTTATTTCAGAAAAGACAACTCAATGTTATTTTCTGCCATTGTGATGGTTTTATTACAAATGGTAATCTTAATCCACAATTGGGGGCAAAAAGTAATATAATACAATTGAAACAGTCACTGGCTGAAACATGCTTGACGAAAAAAATGGCTGTAAAAAATATTTAACTTTATTCCACATAAAATGAATGTCGGACTGTGTGTAAAACCTGGTTTTAGCTACAGTTCTTATTCATGTTTTTCACAGACAAGAGGAAAAGACATTAACACTTCGAAACGACAGATACATGGCCAATCAAGTGACCCCTTCCTCTAGCAGCGCTTTGTTGTGGAGAGAGAAACCGAGTCATGTGGACCGACAGACCCCCTGCAGCACTTCGGGTGCAGCTCCTCTGGGCTGTGCCACCAGGCGGGATTCCCGGGGCAGTACGAGCTCCAGCTGGGATGCACTTGAAAGCCTGGGCCATGTTACCAGTTCACCTCCCCTATGGGGATCTTCTCCCAGTCTGCCGATGGGATTGGGAGGCAGGTTCCAAGGCAGGGCCCCAGAGCCTGAGCCAAGTTTCATAAGACAGAGCTCCTTGGACACCAACTCATCCGAAGAAACTCTCAAGGACGTCCAGATGGAGGCCTGTGGCCCACAGACAACCGTGGCCCCAAAGACGACGTCCTTCCGAAAGGCGGAACAGGTCCCGTCCTCCCCCCAAAGACTGGTCCGGCGCAGTCCCATCGCAGGGGAGGTTAACAGCTCCTCTTCGGAAACAGAAACCCCCTTCTCCTCGCTGGCCCACCCCCTGCCCTCCCTGCGAATTTCGGAGTCTAATCTACAGTTCTCCCCCACTTCCGGTTTCCTGCACGGCGACGACGAAGTGTTCCTTCAGGAGCCCCTGTGCGAGCCTTCCTCGCCAGCTCTGCCCTTCCAGCAGCCCGTGAGGGAGACGGAAATTACAGAAGACTTCCCCTACCCTCCTCCGGTAATAGCAGAGGAGCAGGGCACCCTGGCTACACTGTCTCCCACAGCACTGCCACATCCTGACAGGTAACCCAGCCTGCACAACTGCAGTCTCTGTATTCGGCTGTTCCCGGACTGCTCAGACACCAGCTTCTTTTTTTATCTTGTTTTGAGGATGTCGCAGAGTGGCCTGAGCAACTGTCAAAGCCGGTCCGTTTTCTGAAACGATAGCGCCGCCGCACAGCACTCAGATATATCAAGTGCAGTTTATTTACAGTGCTCCTCTTCCCCATGAGGAAAATGGGGGAAATTTACAAAAAAAAACAGTTCTTCAAGCAGGAACAAAAAGAAATCGCCACAAAATCGCAAATGCGTAACCATAAGAGAGGTGTTGAACCATATTGTAGTGTAGTCTGTAAGCTATGTTAAAGTTAAGTTGTGCCTGTGGTTATTTAGGGATATCCTTCAAATAGGGTCTGAAAGCTAATTGTAATACAGTTTTTTCTATTTGAACTGGATGTTTATTTTTGACAGGGCCTCATTCTACAACTTTTTACAGAAGTGGGTGATGATTTCTCATTGAAACAAGATGTGATATACTGGGGTCTAAATGTTGACTTCTTACTAAAAAACAATCTTCTGCTGGTTTTCTGAGTAAATAATGTCATAGACCCCCCCCCTGCAAAGCTGTTATTCAATATCTCTTTTAGTGGCAAATAGCGAACCCCACCTGCAATTCTCCTTCAGTCAATTTGATATAATATAAATGATTCCATTTTAAGTAAAGTGACAAAAGAAACAATCAATTGCATAAACAGCATTTCCTGGGGAAAAAAAATCATTTGAGCAGTAAGTGCTTTTTAAAGTATCGCTATATACTGTATGTATTTTTTCATGTGTTGAAAACAATCATGTTTTATTGGTTTGTGTAACTATATGTATTTAAATCTCTGTGCAGAACCGAGAGTCCTGATGGAAAGGACTTTCCTGGAGTGACAGAAAGGAAATTGTCCTCTAGCTCGACACCAAACTGCCCTTCTGACAGCACATCCAAGGTCAGCACAACAAGCCCGGATGCTGCGATTTCAATATGCGAGGAGGGGCCCAGGCCACCAGCAGACATTGGCAATGAGAGTGGAGGTTTGGTGGCAGATGAAGACCTCTGCAGCTCTGATGAGGACCTTGAGACAGACTCTCCTCTGCTTGGCAAGCAGGAGAAGTCTCCCGAGGAGCTGAGGTCAGAACTGTTAGCCAAGGAGATTGTCTCCAAGGATAAGTCTCTGGCCCACATCCTTGACACCTCCACCATGAAGACCACCATGGACCTGATGGAAGACATCTTCCCCACAGGCAGCCTGATGCAGCAGCAGGCTCACAGTCAGAGAACCGGGAGGATGGTCTGGAGATCTTCAGCAGAGGGTGATGAGTAAGTCTAAGTGGGCTTCTGTTGTTTATTGTGTTAAGGAATTGTCAGTGATGTAGCATTGGGAGCCACAGACACATACAGTTTCTATACATTTATAATAATTTGAGGTGTTGAGTGAGGAGTTGCATCAGCAATGGAGCTACAAAGGAACAAGAAGAGATTACTTCCATGTTGAAAAGGAAGAAAGAACAAGAATGTATCTGGGTAAGATGATACAGCAGGCACAGTACGATATGGGTCACGATACACCAGACCACAGTACGATATGGGTCAGGATACACCAGACCACAGTACGATATTGGTCAGGATACACCAGACCACAGTACGATATGGGTCACGATACACCAGACCACAGTACGATATTGGTCATGATACAGCAGACCACAGTACGATATGGGTCAAGTTACAGCAGGAACAGTACGATATGGGTCAGGATACACCAGACCACACTACGATATTGGTCAGGATACACCAGACCACAGTACGATTTGGGTCACGATACAGCAGGCACAAATACGATATGGGTCTTAATACAGCAGGCCACAGTACGATATGGATCACGATACAGCAGACTACAGTACGATATGGGTCAGGATACACCAGACCACAGTACGATATGGGTCAGGATACACCAGACCACAGTACGATATTGGTCATGATACAGCAGACCACAGTTCGATATGAATCACGATACAGCAGGAACAGTACGATATGGATCACAATACACCAGACCACAGTACGATATGGGTCAAGTTACAGCAGGCCACAGTACCATGTGACAATTGTGGTAATATTATTTGTGTGTTTCGTCAGAAAAATTAATGTCATATAATATTGTTGTTTCCATTCCATGCCTTTTGCAATTATTGATTCACAGAGATGAGACAAATACTTATTTTAATATATTTAAACTATCCTTATTCGATAACAGCAATTCTCTAAAATGTATTGATTCATTCATCCTTGAAAAAAACATTATTTTCATAAATTAACTAATTTTAGGAACAATATGTCAACTGATATTTCGCCAATTACATTCATTGAGCTTTACAGATAAAATCACCGTTTTGATATCATTGCCATTTTTTAAATCCATAACGTTTCCGTGTTCAGATGTCAAACATTTTATGTAATTATATTTTTCCAAGAAATGTAATAGCATTTACGCAGAATGAACATTGAATACTGGGGAACACTAAATATATTAAGAAGTATGATGTAATGAGCCCTACCTCATACAAGTGGTTAGGAATGTGAAATGTAAAGGCTAACGAATAGCGCCATCTATTAGTTGACTTAAGTATTGCAGCTGTTTTTTTTCAACACAGAATGACGTTCTCTGAAGATGTAATCGGTGAATGAACGAGTAGAGGTTAGTTCTGCTCGGAAAAGTAGAAAGAATGAACATTGTGGAGGTTTCTTTGTGTAGAGGAGAGATGGAGAGCAAGGAGTGTAGCAGTAAAAGGGGTGGGTGAAAACCAAGCTGTGAGAATGGGGAGAGCAGGAGAAGAGGGTACAAGGGAGATATGATGGACTCCAGGAGCAACGTGGAAAGCAGCATTCTGTAAATACAGTTGTATGTTAAAAATGTGGGTGCTCCTGGGCAAATAGCATGTTTCGCTGAATCCCTTAAGTGAAAAGACGTTAACACAACCTCTGCAACCTCTTTTCAAGAGAAAAGAAAGACTCTTAGCTGGCTACAAGAATCGTTTGGAGGCTGTGATTTCTGCCAAAGGAGGTGTCACTAAGTACGGACTGACAGGGTGTCCAAACTTTCGCACATGCCACATGCAGTGTTTTATTTTTTCGCTCTGTTAAACTCAGCACATAAATAGTAATTGAGCATTAAAATGTGCAGAAATATGTCATGTTTAGGTTTGTCCCCTGCAGAGGTTGTGTTAACTTCTTTTCACATAGAGATTCAGTTAAACATGCGATTTGACCAGGGGTGCCCAAACTTTTGCATACAACTATAAGTGGACAGATGAGAGAGAGAGACTCTTTGCTTCTGATGTTGTTCCAGTACTGGAGTTTACGAATCACTGTGTGAAAAGATACAGACAGAAAGGCCAGTGTAATGGCCGGGGGAGAGAGAGGGAACTAATAGCTTGAGGAACTCTTTGATGTTCACCTCTCTGACTTGTCCCCTGAAACTATCAGCCAGTCTCTCGCCTGTTTTGCCAGTGGACAAAACAGGGCTCCTCCTGTAGGCCATGAACTATAAGACATGACGCCCTCTGGGTCACCCTGAAACTGCTGGAGCAGCCATGTACAGACTCCTCCATAGGTATTGGGAAAGCAAAGTCAAAACTCTCATTTTTGCTTTAGACTCACTGTGTTCATCTAGAATGTTTGTGTCGCACTTTAAGAATGAAACACTTGCAGCCACTTGTTTCTCCCAAAGCGGATTCAGTCTATATGCCAGTTTTCTCAAATGAGCAAATGTCAGGTAAAGGGCTATAGTCACTGCCAGCGGTGTTTTCTTTTGTGTGGGTGGGGGAGACAGTATTAAACAAATTGAAGCAGGTTAAACAAAGCAAATTGAAGAGGCAGCAAGCCAGGCGTCGTCATTAAGCAGACGGTGTTGCGAGATGTGCTGTAACAATTGTTTTGTATGTCTTG